CTCTTTTCAGTTTGAATTGAATTCTTGTTCCTCGTCAAGGACTGGGCATGATGAGTTTTAAGATACTCCTCTGAACAGACACTGAATATTTGAGAGGTTGATCAGTGAAATCCTGACTTGTCACAGGTAATTTGCTGAGAACAAACCACTTCCAGTGAAGCTTTTTGCAGATTAGAAACCCTTATATCTGAAATTTCACTTAACATGTATGTCATATTTCTATTCTCCACTTCAAAACTTAAATTGGAGTTTGAGTCTATTACAACGTAAAGACAATAAAGGAATTTAATTTCTGTGCAAGTAGGTCTGCTCAGTTTGTGAGGTGCTCAGACCTCAATCCACTGAAGGTCTTTAAGCCTGTGCGTAATTCAAGTGTGAGAATTTCTATAGAGAAGCCTTAACAAAAAACATATTCTTTCAAAGGCAATGGAAATACTAACATGTTTTCAATTAAATATATGCTTACAAACTTTGCTAGGTTTGCATCTCGGTGGATTGTTCTAGTGAACAACAATTAGAGTTGTGTTAGTCAACCTTTATTCTTGTGCTTCTGTTTTGGATGTGAGAAATAAACAGGCTGTTTGCAATTTGGGGGATGGCAATTATAGACATCTGATGTGCAGAACTGGACAAGAAAGCAAAGACTAAAGAATAACATGGTTTGAAGTGAAAATTGCTTGAGCAGTAAGAAAATGCAGAGGATGTGCTTTGTTGGATGTTTATCATGTACACTACAAAAACACCACCGTGGTTAGAGATAAATTATAGTTCAACATTTAGAGACATAGTATATTACAAAATGAAAAATAAAGCCAACCTTAAAATTAATTTTCTTCCTGAACAAGTCCACTTAACTAACCATGGCAAACATGATTAAAAACGTGCAATCATTTTTCGAAACAAATAATTCCTTAGTATCTGTCTCCAGTTTGTTTCGTTTTGCGTCATCATTATAGAAGGGGGCAGACAAGCATTGCAATTGAATCTATGGAACCTATAGCCATATGATGATTGATGTAACAGACCACACTATTAGACCTAAAATTGGACTTTGGAATACACTCCACGTACTTCAGAATAGTATTTTCATCTGTCTTTGCAGATGAAATAATTAGTTAGACCTCCTCCCCTAACTTACATGATGGATTTAAAAGCTAGGCTGAACGATTTTGAGATGTGAAGAGTTTTGCTTCTCAGCTCTGTGTCTTTAGGAATTATATTTAGATGGCTTTTTCTGAAATCATTAGGCCTGAAAAAAAATAGAAGCTTAAATGTATTCCAGGAACTGCAGCTTTAAAAAGCCCTCTACCAAACAAGTAAAGCTGGCAACAGAATCTCCCTTATTGTGACCAAACAGCTCATCATTTAACCAGGAAATGGAAGGGAGGGACCGTTCTTTCTCCATTCCTGTTTTCCATCTGTGAAGAGGTTTGGATGGTTCCACCCTGAGGTGGTGGGAATGGATGTCCCCAGGACGCTGTCCCCCACGCCCATGGCACCACGTGGTGCTAACAAGAGCCAACTCTTCATCCTCTCCCTCTCCTGCCACAGCAAATATACATGTGACTGCCAGCCCACCCCTTCTAGAACTGTTCAGTCTTGCTTATCCCTCTTCCTGCTCTGGTGCCTGGCCATTGCTCCCACTCCACCTACGGTCACCAAATAGCACGAGATTTCTGCTGAAATGAACGGTCATGAAATGCTTCTCATCCAGGGGCTGGGTGGAAGACTAGAAATGAACAGGAGGCTCTGGGGGCTGCTGGCAGTTTTCCCCAGAGTACAAGAAGGCCAGCTCTGCCAGGTGTCTCTGTTGGGTGCTTTGGAACCATCTCCGTAGTTCTTTCCCATGTCTGGCACTTGTTTGCCACGGGGTGATTTTCTGGCTGGGCTGAGACATCTGTACCCCTTTTGGTGCAGGGGAACTGGTGGCACGGGCTCAATCCCCATTTCAGCCTCTCCCATTGCTATCCCATGCAGCCCTTATCAGGGAGCTGATACTGTGGCTCACAATGTCGATGTTCAGGAGACACATCAAGAAATCTGGCATACAGCCCACGGCTACAGCTCAGATTCTGCAACAATAATGTTTGTGTTGGCAGGCCATGGAACAGAAACTTGCGTTCTCTCCAGCTGACTGGTGTGATTCTAGCAATTAATTCAGCTTTTCCAGGCGCAAAAGTTTGTTTATACAGCTTGTGGCTCTTCCTATTTCAAAACACATCAGTAACTTGGGAAAAACAAACTGGCTAGGCAGTCACAGAATCACAGAAGTGTTGAGGCTGGAAGGGACCTTTGAAGGTTGTCTAGTCCAAGTACTGCTCAGAGTAGAGTCAACTACAGCAGGTTTCTCAGGGCTGTGTCCAGTCAGATTTTGAGTATCATCAAGGAGGGAGACTCCACAACCTCTCTGGGCAACCTTTTCCAGTGTTTGACTTCCATCTCAGGATAAACTTCTCATATTTAAATGGAGTTTCCTCTATTGCAATGTGTGTCCATTGCATTTCCATTGTCCTCTCCCTGGGCACCACAGAGGAGAGTTTGTCTCTTCTTACTCCTTCACATCATGTGTTTATGTACATTGATATGATTCTCTTGTCTTTCTCCACACCAAGCAGTCCCAGCTCCTTCACTCTCTCCTTATATAACAGATTCTCCAGTCCCTTAACCATCATCATGGCCCTTTGCTGGACTCATTCCAGTATATCTATGTATCTTTTGTACTGGAAAGCTCAGGACTGGACCCAGCTCTGGAGATGTGACCCCCACTAGTGCTGGGGAGAGGAGAAGGATCACTTCCCTTGACCTGCTGTAGGTATTTTTCCTAATACTGCCTTGGAGGCTGTTGTCTCTCTTTTCTGCCAGGTCACATTGCTGGCTCGTGGGCAGCTTGTTGAACACCAGGATCCCCAGAGCCTTCCTTGCAAAGCTCCTTTTCAACTAGTTGGCTTCATCCTCTACTGGTACTTGGGGTTATTAATCTCTGTATGCAGGACTTTGCAATTCTCTGAGTTGCCCTTGATGAGATTGCTGCTTGCCATTTGGAAATCTTAATAAAGAACTGCTTGGGACAGAGGTGGAGGGATGGAGATTGAAGTATCTGAGGTCCCCACAAAATGCACACATCATTAGTTGTCTAGTTTTTTAACTTCATGACCCTCACATCTGTAAGACCATATCATCATTCAGAGCTCTGGAAGCTGTCAGAAATCTGAAAACAATCCATACAAGTATTACCTGTGTAAATCTATACAGAAATGAGCAACTGCAGTTATTTATCTGTGTTGTAATTTGAGTCTTAAAATGTGGTATTTATAGCACTTCTGTTTCAATCACAGTAATTCTGCCCCAAAAGAAACATGTGTGAATGGAATCCTCGTGGTAATGAATGAACTACTTATTTTCTCTTTATTTATATGACTGAAATTCACAGTTTCCTCCGTATCTTGTTTTTTTTCTGCATGGTTGTTCTTTCCAACAACAAGGCCTCACTGCCTCTGCCCTCAGCTCCCCAATGGTGAGAAGTAGTGTCCATGTGGTGTCCTGAGTACAGAGGATACAGCAAAATCCTGACTGTGAAATCTCACCAACTGGAATCGCCATCAGATTGCCAAATGTCCTAAATATGTCCAATTTTTTTCTTTGTCTTTATCCTGTTACATGTTATTTTGGGGATAGAAGGGACCTGGAGCCTAATGGAGCTGTTTGAGAACTCCTATTTTTTTCCTTTACTTTTGCCATTCTCACAGGACAGTCATTGATTCACGACAGGGATTTACACCCAACTGTGAAATTTGTTACTTTGGGCTTTACCTTGAATCCAAACTTTCCAGTCTATATTGGATGTCTCAGACAATGAACTAAGGACATTAAGAGAACAATCCTGGTTTCTTGGAAGTGAGTAAGGAAAATGCCTTTGTGTTGGAGGCAGCCTTTATTTTCAAATGTTTGGAGATAGGAGAATCCAGGCTTGTTCTTTCATCCACACGGAGAAATTTAAGCACATGCAAAACCTTCTAGCTACCTTTCTTTACCCAGACTCACAGAGTAATTAACACAGTTTACTTACTTTATTTAATTTACTTCCTTTGGTTTGTAATTTCTTTGTTTTCTTTCAGGTTTTATGCTGCAAATTTATCAATAGCACCAAAAATTAGATTTGTCAAGAGGGTGTACAACTAGAATAACTTTATAAAGGGATGTAGCAAAGAAAAAGTAGAAATGTTGCTGAAATTCATTTAGGGTATTTACGATATGCTCACTCCTCACTTCACTGTTGAAGCAAATCAGAGCAGAAAGTCTTCATGGCGTGGTAGTATGACTCACTTTGAGTTCATGGAGATCTGGGCTGCAGATTTGAACCCCTCAGCTCCATTCCTTGTGTGCCTGGACACAGCCCAGCCTTGCCTGGGGCTGCCTTTCTGTCTTTATTCCCTGCAAGTTCCTGCACCTCCCCATCGGGACATTTTGATTTGGAGGATGGAAGAATGGCCTTGAGTTTAAGATGCTGGGTTGAGGTGTGCCCAGGCTAAAAAAGTCAAAAATTCCTTTCTTTAAACACATGTGGTTTCTTGTGACCTTCAGTGAATCGGCCAAAACTTCAGCTTTCCCCCTGCAAATTGGGTACTGTCCAGCTAAATTGGTTGGATACCAGGTGGTAGGAAGGAAAACACAAAATTATTTATTAAAAAAAAACAAATTCTGCTTTATAGACAGAGCTCATCTCTTGTAAGTGGGTCAGAATCGTCACAGAAAGTGTAGCTGCAGTCACACGGTGTGTTTAATAGGTCCTGTTAATGTTTAACAGTTTTCCCCTCTTTTAAAGCTTCCATTTTGAAGTCAGATGATTCTTAATACGTTTTTTTTTTTTTTTCCCATTTGCAGTTAACACATTGACCCGGCGTCGTGGCAGCAGCACTGGGAAGCTGTGTTGGTGAATCCAGGTCCTCCAGTTTTCTTCCCTTCCTTCCTTCCTTCCTTCTGAAGGAAGCCCCCATGAACGGGTCCCTGGGATTAAGGGGGAAGTGGAGGTTTTAATGAAGCAGACTCCATTCTTCCGAGGGGTGAAGGGAGGTAAGGGAAGATCCTGTTGCTTATGTGATTATTGCTAATTACTCTAATTGAACATCCTCATGACAGGAATATTTGGTGCCTGAGGTGTAAAGCTTGTTTGCTTCCATTGCTTTTTTCAACTGTCTCGTGGTGCCCTCTCGAGGTAGGAGAGCAGCCCCTTTTATTCCCTGTTTTACAGCAGCTGGAACACAAGCTGGAAGCACAGACCTCCGTGAAGAAGCTGAGAAATTGCTATTTGCTTTGAAAAAAAATTAAATTTGCTAAAAATCCTTGCAAAATAAGTGGGATTCTTTTGATTCCCATTTAAAAAAAGCACGCCAGTCTCTTTGTTTCCATCTTTTCAGTGAGATCAAGCACTCAAAAGGATGCAAAAAGCACAGGGGATGCTTCTTCACAGTGCCCTGAGGCCACAAAGGTGCATTTCCTTGGAGCATGAACAAGCTTAAAGGCTGTTTCCATGAAGGAAGGGAACACATTTCCCACAGCATGCTTTTGTGCCCTTGAAGCAAAGCACAAAATGCATCAGGAAATGCTGACGTGTTTGGATATTAAAGTGGATTAGGAAACCTTGACACATGAGAAAGGCTGACCTTAGGGCTCGAGTCAAACAGAGGGTATTGTGCTTGTGAGGGAGGTCTGAATGCCTTGGATGTCATCACCACCTCACTGTGAAGGACTGCAAACTGCAAGATTCTCTGTAAAAGTGACTATTAGATGCTCAGTCTTGAAATATCTCTTGCCAGGTGACAGCAGATTATCCTTCCAAAAATGCCTCATCTTAAATCCAGCAAGGAGCAAGGACTGGCAATATAGTGGGCCCTCAAGAGGCAGTGAATTAATCAGTTTGGGTTTGGACTGGGATAGGGTTGATACTCAGAGGTTGGGGCAAGGACATCCAGTTTTAGAGAGGAGCACGCTATGGGTACACGGTAATTTATTTAAAAATACAGATTTTAATAAAAATCTCTGCTTCTCATAGATAACTTTTGAAGGGGATAAATGTAAGCAAATGCTGAACAACATGCCGATTCTGAAGGCACAAACCCCCTCCACAGAACTGCAAATTGAAGACTCAAGGCTCCTGTTTTGTTGAAAAGGGACTTTTGAGCCCAACAAGGGGTAAGATGTTAATAAAACCTTTGTTCCCTGTTACAAAAGGGAACAGCTAAGTGTGGGTTGGGGTTTCTGCCAAGTTAACCCTGACTTCTTCCCATTGCCACCAATACTGCTAAGAAACACCTTAACATGTTATTTAAGACAAAGAACAAAAACCAGTTAACACTTTTCATTTTGAATGCTGTATTTAAAGCAAAAGCTTTCATTTTAAACACATCTTTATTCGCTTTCCTTGTTGCTAGACTAGGGGCTTTAAAGCAAATTCACATTTTATGTGGCATTAACTTTCTTTTTGTGGGGAAAAAACAAAGTTAGCTTAAGTGATCTGAAACTGGCACTGTCTTTAATACTAACGGAGTTTTATTTTCTTTAAGGTGAAAGTGCAGGTGTTCTGAGTCTCCCCAAACACGTGCTAACCAGGCTTATTTTATTATTTCCTTCCCTGTGGTCTGCTGGGCTTTGCCCATCTGTAGTTGTTGTCAGCTCCTTCAGAGCCACGATCGGACAGAATTGCTATGGTAGTTGGAATAATAATAACAAAAAGCCATGGAAAAATAAGGCGACATTGAATCACCATTTCCACTTTTTAATTCACCAGCAAAGAAGGACAAAAAGGAGATGGCTTCTGTCAGCAATGTTGCCTTTCATTTGCAACTGTGCTGTTATGGAATCAGAGGCTACTTAATACATGGTTTTGGAAACCCTTTGGATTAGTATGAGGTGGTAGGAGTTGCTGGATATGATGCATCTCCATGAGATGCTGACAGTGGTGTGATGACATTGTAGTATTATCTGAGAGCAAGGGAAGAAGTGAAGGAGGGAGGTGGCAGGTGTGTCTGGGTACTCTCTGGTCAGGATTTGAGCATCAGGGTCACAGAGGTCCTGTGGTGTCATATTTAAAAGCAGGCTGGCAGAATATGTTGGGGTGACAGCCACATTTCCTCCTGCCCTCATACCCTCCTCTGCTCTCCTTTGTGCCACCCCCTCATCTAAGGAAAGGTGGCATCTTTATTCTGGTAGAATTAACTAATCAAAGTATGCTGTTGGTGATTTCAATTATAAATGTTTCCTCCCATTCTTAAAATGTTTTCACTTGTTTTCTTGGCAGGACCTTGAGGAGCTCTCCTGAGAGTCCCTTTCACATAGATATGCACAGAATGAATAGTTTATCTCCAGCTCCTGCTGACTTTCATGAATAATTTGATGTAAAAAGCTAAGTTGCATTTCTGCTGTGTCGGTTAACTTGGAAGTACCAGCTTCTAATATTCCAACCACAGACTGAAGCAGACTTTCCAGTTTTAGAGGCCAAAGTGGCCTCTCTGGCTTCCACTCATTGTGAATACCTTACCTTTTTTCCTCCTTTAACTACCTGGCTGCTTCAGGCTCCCCAAAACATGAAAGAGGCTCTAGAGCTTCCAGCTGACAGAACATCTCTTGTGAATGAAAGCTCTTTACTTAAACACAGAAGATTTGGTGGGATATACAACTGTGATTTTTGCTGTTTCTCGTTTTCATTCCCAGGTGTATGCCAGAAAATCCTGTGGTCAGCCCTGAAGGTAAGCAGCTCATTTTACAGAGTGTATTCATCTGCCCACTCTCATTAAAGGCAAACAGAATTGCTTATCTGAGTAATGTCACACGTGTGCCTAAATGATTGCAAGAGACTGAAAGGAGCTGGGAGTAGAAATAATAGCACTACTTCATCTCTCACAGAGCAGAGCCAACAAAATAATGAAGCCATGTGAATAAAGAACCAACATAATAATCAAGGTCTAACCATTTTGGGAAAATTAGCACTTCTTCCATAACAGTAACAGGCTGCTGGGAAAATGGTACAAAGTATTAACTGTCAGGTTAAGCACACCTTCATCAACATGTGCCGAGTCCCACTGATGTGTCCTCAAACCTGTTACTTAAGTACTTGTTAAGGCCAATTAAATAAACAAAATTTTAAAGCCTAATAGCATAAACCACACAAATAACATAAAAGAGGCATAATGGTTGAATGGGTGGGCGTTTAGCCCTTCTTGATTTAAAACAGTGAAGTGAAAAATGTTGGAGCCCTTGAAGGTGATTTTGAAGACGAGGAAGTGACTGTGCTACACAAACAGCAATCAGAGACAATTAAGAGAACTGGGACAAGTGCCTCATTCTCCCAGCAGACTGCATGGGAAATTGCACTTTACATTTCAGTCTCATTGCATTTTCAAATAAGGCCCCCAGCTATGTCATTTTTTCAAGTCCAACTCAAATCAAAAGATATTGCTTAAAATCTTCCTATTACTCCAGAAGTGAAAGGAATGATTGTCTATGCTGATGAGCCTGGAAGATTGTCTTGGAAAGAATTTGACAGTTTTGTCCCCGGGTCCCATTATAACGTTATTACTGCCCCTGGAGGAGACTGACAGAGCCTGAATGCCGGCGTGAGGACGAGGGTGGTTGAGGATGGCTCTGTACTGCTGCAGATCTTGTGTTGTTTCTCTACAGAAGCAGCAGAGAAACTGTGAGCTACGCTGTGCATGTGTTTTCTCTTAAAGCTTAATCTGATGAAGAATCTCAGCGAGACCCTGTGCTAACAAAAGAGCAGAGCATACGAGCAAGCTAAAAATAAAAACAAAGACATAAAAATGGAAAGAATGAAAATAGGGAAATTTGGAAATAGTTATCCAGGTCTAATTATACCCCTGTCCCTCTGCAGAAAGCACAGCTCACCAGTGATACTTTTTAAAGAACTTTCTGTTAGGCTCGGGAGGGTTTCAGTACATGACTCAAGAAATTTCCTGAAGTGCTGAAGTGGTCTCACTTTTGTAGCCTTCTTCCCACAAACAGGAGTACAGAGAGCTTGCAGAGCTCTTGTAGCTGGTTTGGTTTGCCAGAGTAAGTAATGGTGCCTGGGAATGAGCCCTGCCCTTGTCTCTGGCTCCTGCCAGGATAGAGAACACTGGCCCAGCTGCTGCTGTCCCCCAGCACAGGTTGGAGTGCAGAGGGACACAGGGGGACCCTGCACTCCATCTGACTGCCCATGTGGTGCCCAACAAACCTTCCCTGAACCAGCCCTGACTCCTCTGCTCAGTGTCATGAAAGCTGTAAGATGGGGGGGCTGTGGTACATCCACAGAAGTGATGCAAGCTTTCCCTGACAGCAATTTTCCCATGGAATTGTCTTATCTTACTGTTTTCTTTCCATGGGGCACTTTTTCCTTTTAAAGATTTTTATTTTAATGAAAAAGGCTCTCAATGTAAATGTTCAATTATAATGCTAATTGATAGAAAGTTAGTGTAAGATCTCTCCACTCAGATACAATTAACTCTGCATAAACCAGGTCATCATAGCAAACAAGGACCTAAATCAATTATTCTCAGATTAAAGATTTAAACTTCTATGTTTCACTGTATAACAATTGTCTGAGAGATAAATTACGGTTACAGTGACAATCTGGTACATGCTCTCCTTAACCCAAGTCATAAACTGCTCAGATCTCAGACAAAAAAAGCAGTGCCTTGTTGCTTTGTGAGGGTTGCTGAGCAAATATGCCCACTGAAATTAAGAGGAATTTGTAAAGAAAACAAGCTGCTTCTGAGCCAGGGATTTTAGAAGTAATTTATAAATTGTGATGGTCCCAACAAGAAGCCTTTTGCAACTCCAACAAGATCATTCACGTATTGAACTATACAGAAGAAAGAAAAATACTGCAAAACCACACTCACTGCACTCAGAACCTTAACCCGGTTCCCAGAACCACAGTGGATAATGTCTCTATTAGAAATTAATTTATTTTGCTGGGACTTCCTTGGAGTGTGGTACTACTCAACTAATGACTGCAAATTTGGGTCCTAACCTGCTTGATTTAAAACAGCTTTAGCAAAATTACCCTTAGGGGCAAATTCTTGTCACAATAAGACCGATGGGAGTTTTGTGACTGAGTTTTGATATCATATAACAATTGAATTTTCTTACGTGTCTGTGTCCCTCAAATATGTAACTCCTAAGTGTAAGAAACACATTTATATATGTAAAAATGATGTATATAAAAATGCAGGGTCTATTGTTTTATGTTCACTAGTAGCTCTATGGCTCTGCATCCACATCTCTCTGCCGTTTTCTGAAACAGAGCAGAAAGGCCAACGGGGGCGAAATACCAACCTGAGATAGCAGTCTAGCAAGGAAGGCAGTGCTGTCACTGCAGAGGGACTTTGAGCACAAGAAGTGACACTTGCAGTTACTGAGGCTGTCAGTCCAAATCCGTGTTGCTTTGGTACCCCGGATAAAGATCGGGCCAACTTAAGAGCTGGCGACACGCCACGCAGACAGATGGACAGATGGGTGAGCAACACAGAGACCGTGCTGGAGCATCAAGTGTGGGTTCTGAAGGCAGCATTCCTAGCTGGGAGACTCCAAACAGCTGGCCAGCCTGAATTTTTTAAAGACAATTTATGTTTTAGGAAATGCCGCAGTTTGTTTGGTTCTGGTAACGTGCTGAAAAAAACAGTGATGGGAAGGGGGTATTGTTATTTATTCTTGGTAAATGTGGCTTGAGCTGCACAAAAAGAAGGATGTGAAGAAGGGTCATTCCCTCTGAGCCCTGGAGAGAGTGAGGATGAGAAATGATAATAGAATTTCCCTGTGTTTTTCTGTGTCAGGGCAAAACAGATCTCTGCTGAGCAGAGCAGCAGAGGGAGTGTCAAAGCTGCATGTTGGAGATGGGGAAGAAAAATCTCACCTTGGATTCAGGAGCTGGAATTCATCCTAAACTCACACTTCAGCCTTCTTCTCCCAGGAGGATCAGCATCGGGGTAGAGGCGCTATGGGACAACTCCTTTCCTGGGACAAGGGTAGACACAGGAGAACCTGAATTTTTATTAAAAGCTGGAAAACTGAAACCCAAAGGTGGAAATCTGATACCAGTGCATTTCTTTTTTTTTTTTTTTTTTAATAAAATAGTTTAAATGAGCTTATCTGAATTTAAATATCTAGATTTAAGCAGTTTATTTCCTTGCACAACAAACTAAACAGATGATTCAAGTGCATGTAAAAATTCAGCTGCTCTGTTGGAATTTGAATGGTTTGTCCTCACATGCATCAACATCCCTTTGGCTTATAATATTTCTTGCCTTCTGTTTGCAAAATGAGTAGGGTTTTCCCAGGCAGATACTTTGTCTGGACTGCACCATATTTGGTCTTCAAATAATCAGTTCAAACTGCAAGTCAAACACCTCTTCTGCTCCATTCTCTGTAATTGATTCATTATTTCTTTCAAATTCCTTGGCTGCCTCATGTCTTTTTGCCAGTGCATATTGAGCAATCAGGTCATTCCAGGTTGCTTTTGTTTGTGTTACTCCTATGAATTCAGTTTATATTTAACCCTGGGAATAACAGACATAAAAAGCCAACACCAAAAAAAGAAGGGAGGATGCATCCAGTGCAGTCAATATCATGTCCGGTCACAGAGTTAGGAGGGGACAGGATGATTGAAGGGAATGATAAAGGGCACAAGCTTCTAGTTTTTGGAATTGGTTTAAGTTTGATAAATCAGAAAACTGTTACCAAGGAAGAGCATTGAAGGGACAATGTTTCTAGTGCCATCTCAGGTCAAGACTTCAGGATATTCTTCCGTATTCCCTGGGCCCTACAGTTCCCACATAAAGGCAAGATGAGGGTCATGTTGTATTCAGCATGTTTGGATCATCAGAGGCCCAAGGCCACAGCACCCAGTATAGACATTATCTAACTGTTTGCTCTATCTTGGCTTACAAAGATCAAGCACAGAACATTGTTCACCACCAGCAGAGAGGACAAAGCCACCACCATGACCCCAGCCCTAAGTCAGTGATGGTACAAAGGGGTGAATTGAGATTTAAGTCTGCCTTGGCTTTTTTAAGGTCACTGATTCCCTTTAAAGAAACAAAACAACACAGAGACTCGTGTGTGCACAAACACACACACACAATAATTAAAAGAATTAACATGGGAATTAGTTTGTGTTGCAAACCAAGGCTGTTGTTAGGTGGAAATTTGCCATATGCTCTCCAACACTAGACACAAAGAAGGACCATTTTACCACTTAAACCTCCGTTTTGCTGTAGGATTGGAAAGCCCAGTGCTGTCGATTGGCTCCTTTAATTTAAAGCAAATTGATTGTGGGAGCTGGATATCAAGATTACTCAGAAGTTCTTGGAAGCTCATTCTTTCGGGCTGCTGAGCTTTTATTTTGAGGAGAAAGTAACACAAATAATAAAATACAGAGATGCATGGGCTTAGTGTAAAGAAGACTTGGAGGTTTATATGTCTTCCTTCTTTTTTTTTTTTTTTTTAAACAGTCCAATTATGTACCACGTAGCAGCAACTGGGCTAACACCAGCCATATGATGGAATAGCCTGTAATCCGGTTGTGTCTAACTCCATGAGACAGACTCCAAGTAGATGAGTTTTAAATCTCCTTAGAATTAAGAAGGGTTTGGCAACCAAATTAATTGTTTTGGAAAAATCCCGCTTTATGGATCATGAAGAGGATAAAAAGGGAAAAAACATGTCATCTGTAGTGGTTAGTCAGATGTTCTTTTGGAGTTACAATGATTTCCTCTCTAATTCCTCTCCTTGTTGACATTCCCGTTAAAAGAATAATGAGTACGATGTTCGTTGCCTCAGCGCTGCTCATCCCTGTGTACATTACGAAATCTTTGCATTAAGCCACCCAAATGGATTGAATCCTACCGTGAGGCAGGCACTGAAAACAACTGCACTCAGCTGTGAGATGCATAAAAGCCACGTATAACCCGATCCGCTGCGCTACAAGGGGCGATAATCGCTGGGACCCTGTACGGGAGTTTGTTTGAGAGCAGTGGTGGGGGCCCAGACAGAGTGCATCACTCTGGTTGAGCAGGACTGAATTATTTCAGTCTCTGGATTTTTAATATTTATGTAGTTACCCTTTTACCGGTGCGGTTGTGATGCTTTGGAGAAAATATGTTCTATGTATTATTAATGGCATGTTTAAATAATGAGAGACAATTAAATGATCGCTGGGTGATAGTTTCCCAGGTGTATTTCTGTTTGATGTGTTTTGTAGATCTGTACTGTATTCTCACAGAGGCTACATTACTTAATTACCCCGTGCTTCTACAGAATTTTGGTAAAAATAAGTGTGCAAAAAAAGATATCATTATTTTACAGGTGGCATAAAAGCAGCTTCATTAGGGAGCCTGGTATTAATAGTCCTTTAATACAGAAAGCCAGAAGATGGTTCTTCACATGGTACATTACACAGTGAAATATGCCAATTTTGACTTGATTTCTAATGCTGCTAAACTACCCCACATTCATTTGCTTCAGCTTTAAGCCCTTTCATTCTCATATTCTCCAGCCCTGCTAACAGAATTGCAGCTTGCTTTTCACCTATCTCCTAACAGTTTAACATGGATGTCTGGGTCCAGCCCATTGTTCCAATTGTATATAGTTTAAAAAGCTCTGCAGTATTTTACTCTTTCCATTATATCTTGGCTTCCCTGAGCGCTCTGCTTGCTGCATTTTGCTTGTACTGGCTCTGTTTTCTAAACCCATTTATGGCTTTTTCTTCTGTACACACTTGTTCATTGGGGAGCTTAAATTGACTTCTCTCCATTCTGTTTCCTTAACTAAAAACGCACCATTAAGGTTGATTGAAGTCTTTTGAAAACACTTCATAAAAAATGAAAGGCCATAAGAAATTAGGCTACCAGTGTTTGCAAATACCTGTTTTCAGCCAAATTGATGGGAGGGAATAAGAATTGAAATTTAAAAGTGCTACTGATATGTATTTTGTTGCGAGTTGTTTTTTATAAGAATAGAAAAAGCGCGTGTAAAACATTTTGAGGAATAAAATATTGAGACGTTAACAAGATATGCTGTGCAGTGGCTTGTTGTTGCAGAAAGCCTTTTCTCCAAAAAAACACCAGGCACAGTTCTGAAGAGAGAAAACTGCAGAATGAACAGAAGTATCTGGATCAGTGATTTTTCCTGATTTTCTGTTGTAAAAAATATTTTTTACTCTCAAATATTTCTCTTCAAAGAGTACTGCAAAGTCTTTCTTTAAGAGTGACATTTGAACCATGGAATAGCATATTCATCAGGAATAGGAGGAGTTCGTAATAAATTGCTCTACAAATTGGAAAAAAAAGCTTAATTAAGTCGGTGAAACTTTGAGTGCCTTTCAGAACAAAAACATCTGTGCAGTGGTCAAGGATATAAAGTATGTTTTGCATTATGTACACATATCCTTAATGAACAAAGCAGCCTCATTTCACGAATCCCCCACCAGGAATCAGGGAAGTCGTTCTGAACACTGGGCTGAATTGTCAGGGAAACTTTTATGGACATATGGAAATGCATCTGCTTTAAAAAGAGAAATATCAAGAGGGATTTGCACAAAGTTAAAAGCAAAGCAAGTGCTTTAGAATCAAAAGTGATTACACTGAAAATGGCAGCTTGCCTGTCAGAGCAGCTGAGGCGGCTCCTCACCAAACAAAATACTAATAGTTCCAGCTGTTTCCAGGCTCTCCTAATACTGCTGCTTATCATTAAAAAGTGCAGACTTTATAGAAATGTGGAAAGCTCTGAAATAAAAATTATTTGATTTTAGTTTATTTCTAGATATCTTTTTCAGACAGCTGCCAAACATGTTTTATTTACAAGATGTATTACTTCTACGGCTTTTTCTCTTTTCAGAAATTTAGATATTCATTCTGACAGTCATCTCACTAAGTGGAGACATCTAAAATGCAGAAGACTTTCAGTAAAAGACTTACGTTGCAGAATAGGAGCAAAAAAATCTGCATAGGGTGAGTTTTACAGTTTTAAAGGACTGTTTAAAAAAGCCCCAAATCTTAATATTGAAAAGCCACACCTACTGAGCCCTGAAATCAAACTCAGATTTGAATTCAGAATAAAAAAAAAAAAAGTTGTAAATAACAACTGTTCCCAGGCTTTGCCTTTAATAATATGATGAATTTAAGATTTTTGTTCCTTTTTATTTTATAAAAGCAATAGAATAAATGCTCCAGACCTCGGCTGCGGCAGCGTTTGATGGTGTACGTGAGCACAGACTGTAGCAGACTGTATCACTTGCTTTAAGAATTCTCCTGTTAATGGAGGGTAGGAGCAGTGAGATCAACAAGCAAAGTAGCTGAGTACAAGGAGGTCATGCAGCAGCGCTGAGTTCTGTGGCAGAGCTACAAGGAAACCCTGTCAGCTTCCATCCCATTAAACGAGCCATGAGCTATGTGTTGGACTCACTGGGATTACCAGCAAACCCCTACCAAGCTGTCTGCTGGCTCTTGCTCACATCCTCTATCAATTATTCAGTTCCTTTTATGCAAATAATGTTTCATGGAAGCAATGGAGATCCATAATGGGAAGAGGAGTAACATCCATTTAGGAGAATTAAATGGTAGATGAAAAGCGTGACACTTTGCAGGCAAAAGCTATTGAAGTGGTGCAGTACCAGGACTCTCTAAATGTCTGTGTGCATGCACAGATGGGGAGAGTCAAAGTTTTGTTTGCTTTTTTTTGACAATCAACTTTATACAGAATTAAAGAAGGTGGCAATAGACACAGACTCCAGCATTTCCAGTTCTGCCCAGGGGACAGTTGAGAAGCAAGGCCTCTGTAGCAGATCTGTCTGTGCTCTGCAGACTCTAAGCTCTCATTTTGTATCTTACAGGGAGTGTATGCAGCAAGCCTGGATGCCAATGTGTTTGTACTAAAGAGAGACTTTGCTGCTCTTTGGAGTCAGGAGTCACAGAAAAACCGAGGGCCACTCCTGCATTCTTTTATCAAAGCATTCTGTTGGTTTCAATGCATATATGGGATCAAAACTCTGCTGTAGCCCCAGTACAGTTCATGGGCCCAAACTCTACTGCTGTGTGCAGAGGCACTTCCAT